CTTTCTTAACTTTAATGTATTCAAGTGTCTGGTTCTACACACAAGTTCGTGGCGAAAAGTATCAGAGAAACACAGTTTTTTTTATTATGGACGCCGCACAAAAATGTAGGTATGTGGACAACCGCGAACTTGATACCAACAGAGCACTATAAAAGGTCGTCAAGAAGGCAACTAGTACCCTGCACTGGATCAGACGAGCATTCAAAATCTTTCCACTGAACTCTTCGGAAAAATATTTGGCGCCTTTGTGAGACCACATCTTGAATCTGAACTCTTCGGAACATATTTGGCGCCTTTTTGAGCCTGTAGCGCTGGCGCGAAGTCCGCAAAGCGCACGTGACTTCAACACTATACCTCCTTCTGGGCCAGCCAGTCACATGTGCCGTGGGCTTCAATTGGCCAAGTAGTTTATCGATCGTCCAGTGACTCACTCTCGCATGACGTTTATTCACTTACGACCACAGCACACCAACAGACGGACGCGCGCGCACAGGGTCCGCGGCCTTCCGCGCGTCTGGGATTCACACCACCATTGAGTTCCTGTATACAATAAACAACTCCTACTGGTATTACTCCTCTTCTTCGTGTACGGAACTGGGCGTGGTAATTGTAGTGTTCTGATCGCACTCAGGGCTTCAACTCCTAAAAATTGGTGACCCCGACGTGTTCAAATTGCAACCTCCTGACGTCAAACGTCAAAAAAATTCTCACTCTACTTCATCTGACTGCTTTTTCTTGTGTTACTCATCGTGTCCACCGTTAGGAAAATGCAATCATCCACATTTTGTGACGAATGAAGCCGCCCTTATCAATCAGATATATTTACGGAATTTCAGCCATATCGTGAGAGTATTCCTTCAACCACACAAACACTGGCTGTTTTCTTTCTTCTCGGACGTTTGCTTTCAACATCACCGGCATTCTTACTCGTGATTTTTTCCCAGAAGTGATACCCCTTCTGTGCTTATCTCGATAAAACTCCACTGTGTTTGACATGCCCCGTAATATTTTCCATTTTCGAGCCCAGACGACAATGAAACATTTCATTGACGGATTCGTTTGTCTCAACATTTACTGCGAGGCACTACGTCGCACACACCCCTTCCTCTCACATCAACGTGCCAATTCACCGACACATGTTGAGGAGATCACTCCAACACACCCTCTGACTGTTGCCTCAATCCGCACTTCTGCACAGGCCACAGCATCAATTTTGCCCCATTTTCGAGCATTTTCGCCTTTTGTCCTACGGATGGCCACGCAGGCGTATTGTTTTGGCTAATTCGAAGAAATCCTCCAAATTCAGGGAAAACTGTGGCCCCGGATTATCCGGAATGTCCAGAGCAGGCTGCAATAAATGTTCCTGTAAGACAAGAGAAAAAGGTCAAGCTCGATCAATCTCTCCTGATATGGTAAGTCCCTGAGACC